GGCTCACAGGGCCCATTGGTGAGCACATGTGCAGAAACTGGCCCCAGAAGGTGGAGTAACGTACCTGACTGATGGAACCTTGTTCTACCTCTTCAGGAGCAAGGCAAAGGAAACAATTTCTCTCTGTCCCCACAGGCTCTGCACCCAAGAATGGATGCGATCCTGTCATACCCTGATTAGAGATCTGTGTCATTTGACAGCTCATTTGACAATGAACTCAAGAGAGTAGGGATTTACCTGATTGGTCTTTCATGTCCCCCAATTAACAAAGAGATGAGCTTAGCCTCCCAAGAAACATTGCATTAACTTTTCTGTAGACATATGAGCATCTGTCTATTTACCTCAGACAGAGCATCAATGACAAACCAAAAAAAAAACAATTTCACCCAAGTCTAGTATAGTGGACCAATGAGTTTAACTGGGATTACTTACAGTAGCATAGGTAAGGGGCTATTTACAGGCATGGGCAACTTATGGCTGAGCGACTATACCACCAAAGCAGCTCTCCCTTCCAGCAATTGTCAACTGCTTTTATATCCTCAGGAAGTAGAGGGGCTTGGGTGCAACTCCTTCTGAGCCTCACCCTGCCTGAGGGAATATCTGGGCCCAGTCTTGTGAGGGTTGTATGGATAATCACAGCTGCTCTGACCTCAGGACAACAAAGGCCATATTACGTGCAGAGTGGCGTGTTCCACAACAGTTAAGTGACCCCTGAAAAACTGAGTAAGGGGAGACCCGATCAGAACCATCACTTTGAGGGAACTCCTGGAGGAGATGAAGAAAACCTAGGACCTCAGGAGTGGCTGTGTGTGTGTGTGGAGTGTGCACACTCCAACAGCCATTTTCAGAGGGGCTATGGAAGCCTAGTAGGCCCAAGTAGCTTATAAGACCGGATCTCCAATATGTTGCTGAACACAATGTAGGGTGTTTGTTTTTTCCCCCTTCTTAATGTGGTATAGAGGAATGAATCTAGGTCCATTTGTATGGTAGGACATTTATTTAAATGTTCTACCAATGAACTATTTCCCTAGCCTGAAAATGTGGTTTTTAAAAGTCAAAATAGTTTTTAACACTGTGTGTAACTTTAAACTCAGCAACTGTCTTTCTGGAGTTTATCCCAAGAGCTGGCACAGCTCTATTACTAGAGACATATCTGTGGGGACTGGGCAGAAATGCAACAGGCAGAAGAATCTGGGTAAAGGCCATAAGCCTAGCCCTGGGTGTGGTGGCAAAGCTGTGTAAGGAGGAGGGCTCGGAGCTGCCAGACTTTGCTTTTCAATAGACTGTAGAAGTCTCAACCTTAAAATACTGCCTTGGCAGACAGCACAAAGGAGACCCAAGGTATTCTCCTTGCTCCATGTTTTCTGGTCACATTAGCGCTGAGCTGGCCATGTGACTGACTTTGGCCAACATTAGAAGAGATGCAAGTAGACACCAGCTGGGGCTTGCCTTCTCGCTGCTTACGTGACTCTTGATGCTGCCACCAAGTGAAAGGCATGTCTGATGGGGACAGGCAGATGACCTAGACACTTTGGTTGCCCTAGGCAGTCTGTTGCCCTTTGCCAGACACTCTAGTGAGGCTGTCCTGGGTCACCCAGCCTCAGCCAGTCCACCAGCTGACCACAGATGTACAAGTGATCAGAGGTCAGCTGAGTTGGCCCAGATCAGGAAAGCCAGCTGGCTCACAGAAATGGGAGCTGTTTTAAGCTAGTACATTTGTTTTCCTAAGCCAATGCATGTGGGGATGATTTGTAATATATAAAGAGCTAATTGACACAAATTAGAATATATTTAGAGCCAAACAAAATGGACATTGTTCATCACAATGAATGATGAATGTGGAGATTTAGCAATAGAGACTTCCCTTGCTTCATTGTTAAAAGGGAACGTGGTTAACAAGCAGTGGCTTATTCATACACTGGAACAGAAGTGGCAGGAGGCTGCCACTAAGAAGGGACAGAGTGTAGAAGCTGAAGACAGAACTACCTCCCTTTAGAAGTGCACCACCAAATTCTGATCAATAGGTAATACAATTTACTTTCCCTCCTCAAACACATCCTCTGGCAGAAAAGAAATATGATTACACCATCATTCAGCAGAAAAGACATCTTGCCGTAAGGGAGAGAAAAAAAGCTCAGAGAGCCCAGGACAGGTTAAGCTTTACTTTTTGAGGATGTAGAAGCACACAGTGGGGTTAGGGAACAATAGGTCTATGCCAATAGTGACATGGTTCTAAAAGGAGATCAAGCAAAAGTTATGATGGTGGGTGTTTTCATGGGGAAATCTATTGTTATATTTAGTAGTTAAGTGTCATTTAATGGCTTCAAAGATGCCGTCAGAAACTGTATCACTTACAAGTGTGCTCCAGATGCAAAGGATGCCGTCTAATGGCATTAGACAGTTGCATGTTAAATCAAGGAAGCCAAGTGTAAAAGAGCCTGTACAGTACAATCCCATTCTTGTTACAGGAATAATGTGCAGGCTTCAATAAGAAACTAACTACACAACAGAGTGCATGGTTAGGTCTAATCATGGTAATCACTGGAAGATTATTATTTTTTCTTCCTTTTATTCACTGTTTTTTTTCAAAATGACACAACAAACATACATTTTATTTGCACTGAGAGAATTAAAGTTACAGATTTCAAAATGTTAGTGTATATGTGCTCTGCCTTAGACAGAGAGGGTGGGGACAGGACTGTCCTGTTACTGTTTTTAGTGCTTCAAATGTCCTGCAGCCCCACTGTACTGATGCACAGTTAGGTCTATGAAGCTGTAGACTCGTTCATGTGAATACACATGGAATCCCTGCGGCTTCCCACCATCCTCCTGGGAGCTAGGCAGATGAGATCCAGTGTCACTCTTTGCAGCTGCTCTGCTCCCCCACTCTGCAGCGCTTTCTTGGGAAGGAAGTAGGGGCAAGGAATGGCCCTTGCCACTTGGTGGAGATACCCCGCTTATTAAGGACAGCAAGTCTAGAGCTCTAATGGGCCCTTCCACCCTGCCAGGCCTTCGAAGCCCTTGTTCTTCACTAACTGTCCTTTAGTACTGACAGAGCACAAAAGTGTCACTGTGCATGAGAGATTGATTACATGTGGCAGGAGCATGACCCAGCTAATCATCAGATCCACTTCCAAAACACCAGCTAGATGCAGCACAGCCCAGCTCTGCTCACTCATCCGTAAATGAGACTGAGCAGTGAGAACAGGCACCAAAGCAACTCTCTATTAGGAAACCTCGGGGGGAAACAGCAAAGTAGTACATCCAAGGTTCAGAGCAGTAAGTAGTTTACTGCAGACGCTACAAAAGAACACTCTTCTCATTGGGTACAGTGATGCGGCCAAAAGTATGAGTTTTATAAAATAAAAGTATTGACTGGGACACAAGATGGAAAATTAAGAGTTGAATAGGCCAGTACATGATTCCTTTGAAATGAATGAACTGTGGACTAGTTGGTCTTTTTGGTAAAGGGGCAAAGGGTACCCAATGCCTGAAAGAATATCAACACACCGTCACCTTTCTGAGTGCCAGCTTCACAGTCGCCTCTACCCCTCTACAGTCCTGTCCTTGGAATGGAGGGAGATAAACACTGTAATTATTTTTCCTTGAAAACTCTGTAGAATTAAGAAATGGGTTCTCCAGTTATTAAGGAGGATATGGGAAATAGCTACCTGTCCCCTCTCTTTAACGTACTTTTTTCCCCCCTTTGAGATAGGGTCTCGTGAAACTCAAGCTGGGCTTGAACTCACTATGTAGCTGAGGATGACCTTGGACTTCTGATCCTCCTGCCTCCACCTCCTAGAGTGCTGAGATTATAGGTCTGCCTCACCATGCCCAGTTTATGTGGTGCTGGGCTGGAACTCAGGGCTTTGTGCATGCTAGGCATGCACGCTAACAACTAAGCTATCTCCTCAGCCCTGTCCTCTTGATTAGACTCACTGAATAGTTAATAACATCACACCCCATTTTAAAGGCTAGCAGTAAATGCACCAATAGCAACTTCTGTCCTCTGTCCTCAACTTCAGGTGTTGTTCACTTTGTGAACTGCATGTTTACTGTGTGTAGTGCAGTAATACCCACTGTTTCCTGAAAGCTGTCGACCAGCTCTGAATGTGTCCTTGACAGACACCACTGCTCTAACCAATCATAAGATCTTTGAGGTGTGTACAATCAACTCCCCATTCTACTGATGGGTTTACAGAGCATAAATAACTTGCCCAAAAGTGATGTGCCTGATGGGATAGGGTCAAGACTGGAGCTCCTTGGATGAGTAGGCAAGAGAGAGGAGAGAAGTCAGGTGGTCAGCCGAAAAGGGAACCCAGGGCCCATGTGCAGGGCACATGTTCTAACTCAGTCACCTTAGACAGACAATGCCACCTCTAAATAAAGGGCTAACCACCCTTGCTTACATCCCTCTCAGGGTTATTGAGAGGGTCAGAGGAGAGCATTCATGTGAAAAAACCCTGAAAAAGATAAGGCATTTTATAAACACTGCATGTTAACGTTTAATTTGTTTTGATATGGGAGGGGGTGGGGGTAGGGTCTTTCTATGTAGCCCAGGCTGGCCTTGGGTTCCTGCCGACTCTCCTATCTCAGCCTCCCTAGGGCTGGGATTACAAGTATGTGCCTCCTGCTTAGCTAACACCATGTGCTATTAATGAAAGGCTAGACAAACCCATCACACCCCTTAAGGGCACAACACTTTTGCCATTCTGGCTTAAATGAAAGACTGAGCCCTTTTTGTCACTGATTTTAATGCTTTTAATACATGTATAGGCTTTTCCTAAACGATCTATTAAAGATGAAGGGCACCAGCTCTCTCTCTCTAGTTTTTGAATTTCCTCTGCAGGTAGCTCTGCCTGAGCTATTTATCTCCATTGTTTCACTCTTACTATCAATCCTGCAAAAAGAACTGACTATTGCAATTTTACATCCTTAATCTATGCAACGTGAGAATGAGAAAAAAGTATAATACTTTCTCATGAAAGAGGTACATTCTATACAGCAATTCACATTTTATTATCGTCGCCATCCTCTGAAGAGCAAAGTCCACAGTTCAGTTTCCAGGCAACATAAGAGGGGATCTTTTATATATAGAACACTTGCATGCAATGTAGTAACATGGTATTTTTTTTTCTGAACCTCTGTGATTTACCCTGTTAAAAGGCAACCACTCAGTTTAAAACTTCAGTTATAACAATGCAATCCTCAAGCAATTAAAGCCAATGAATTGTTGAACCAGTATGAGAGATCTACTGTGTCGTCTCAAGTACAAACCAGGTGTTTTCATTCTGTCTGAGGATCATTACAAATCAAAAAACAGAAACAGAACAAAAAGCCATGTACTGAGTGGAAGTAGGGGTTCAGCCTGTGGGACTTGGGGACCCATGCCCCAGCAGGGCAGGGGGAAGATCACTGGGGACCCATGCCCCAGCAGGGCAGAGGGAAGATCACTGGGAACCCATGCCCCAACAGGGCAGAGGGAGGATCACTGGGAACCTATGCCCCAGCAGGGCAGGGGGAAGATCAGTGGGGACCCATGCACCAGCAGGGCAGAGGGAGGATCACCAGGGACCCATTCCCCAGCAGGGCAGAGGGAGGATCACCGGGAACCCATGCCCCAGCAAGGCAGAGGGAGGATCACTGGGAACCCATGCCCCAGCAGGGCAGAGGGAGGACCACTGGGAACCCATGCCCCAGCAGGGCAGAGGAAGGATCACCGGGAATCCATGCCCCAGCAGGGCAGAGGGAAGATCACTGGGAACCCATGCCCCAGCAGGGCAGAGGGAAGATCACTGGGGACCCATGCCCCAGCAGGGCAGAGGGAGGATCACTGGGGACCCATGCCCCAGCAGGGCAGAGGGAGGATCACTGGGGACCCATGCCCCAGTAGGGCAGAGGGAGGATCACTGGAAACCTATGCCCCAGCAGGGCAGAGGGAGGACCACTGGGGACCCATGCCCCACCAGGGCAGGGGGAGGTTCACTTAAGCATGTGCTGGAGCAGTGAGGGGTCGGCCTCCACAGCCTGGAGGCCCTTGTGCAAGCTCAGGAAGGTGGCTTGCTTCCCATAGCGCTGCCGCCAGCAGACGAAGGCTTCTACCACCTGAGACTGCATGTTGTGGGGATGGTTGGCCTTACAGCGGTAGATGTCAGTCTGGGACAGGCCCAGAGACAGCACCACAGGCTCCCACTCCGGGCCTAGCTTCTGAGCCAACTGGTTAATCTGCCGGTCTGATGGGGAACTGTTGAGGATGTGTGAAGGGATTCCAGCCATCTGGTCACCTGAGGAGGAAAAAGACAAGAAGGTGAGGAGATAAGTCCCTCGGATGGGGCAGAGGCAAAAAAGACGGGGAGCATGAGAGGCTCCCATGGGTCTATTGTCATCTTGTACTGCTCAGTATAGTGGGCTTGTTAGAGTCCAGGTCTGCAGAGGACCCTCTCCCAGTGTAAAAAAGCCTCACAAGACAGGCCATGAGGGCCCCCTTGCAAAACAGGAACTGGCCAGACAGCTACATTTAGAGCTGTCTCAGCACAAAGCTGTTTCCCTGATAATTTTGGAAGATAAACAGGTCCCTGCACCCAGACCCACTGATGTAAGAGCTGTCTCAGTTCAGCTACTTCCCTTGAAACTGTAAAGATTATTTTTGCCACCTTCCACATTCCCCAACCCCCCTATAAGAACTTCCTCAGTAGTCAGCAGGCAGCTGGTTGCTTTCTCTCCCTAGCTGAGCTGCCAGCCACCAGCAATCCTAAGAAATAAAGTTTGCTTTACTGGAGTCCTAATGTTTCCTGTGGCTATTCCCTGCCTGGCTTTTATCTAACATATGGTGCTGAATCTGGAAAGAGGAATGACTGGGTTACTTATGACCCAGTTCCCTCTTACCGAACCATGCTGCTGATCATGCACTCCTGCAACCGGCTTGCCTATGCTGGCTCCCACCACTCACCACATCACGCCCGAGATTATGAGTCCATCTGCATTCCTCACCCTCTGACAGAGTTTGGGTAAGTGCTCTCCCACAGAGCTCTGGATCTCTGCTCACTTGCTCTCCCTCTCTCTCTCCTCCCTCTCTTCTCCCTCTCTCTCCACTAAGACTTAGATAGCTCTGGAGCTCCTGGAGCTTCCCACTGTGCCCAATGGGACTCCTTCCTTCTCCCTTACTCTGCCATGGTCTTGGAAGGTTGTCTTCCATCGCTCTTGTCTTTGTCCTCTTCCAGTGTCTTTCTTCCTCACTTTGCTCAGGATGATTTCTGATATCGTTCTATCCAATTTTAGGTCTTTTTTGCTTCCATCCTTTAATCTAGGCTATCTCTCCTCCTCCCTCTAACTAGTTATGGATTCCCTACACAGGAAAAATGTTCCAGATCTTTCTCCTCTCTCCCCCTCCTATAACTCTTGCTCTGCTTATAAACCCAGCTACAAATGTTTAAACCTCTGTAACCCTAATCTTTCTAAATTTTTCAGAGAAAATGTCTTCTTTATATCCTTATTTAAACCTACTTTCATTAATGCTTTGGGTTGCCTATCATCTTGTACTTCTTTAGTTTTCTCTAAAGCTTTCCACTCCCTGTCATGTATCTGTCCTCCATGCAGGCTCTAAAGCTACATTACAACATGGCTTTGTCCTAAAGCTTCTGTTTTGGTAAATTCTTCTGTAAGTAAAAAATAAAAAACCTTTGGGGGACACTCTTTCTCCCCATACCATCTTGGTGACCACTAAGGACCCCTAAATCCTAATAACGTATTTATTTCTTGGTCACAGAGCTTTTTACAGGTGCTCTTAATTGGGCAGGTAAACTTTATTTCACCATCTTCCCTCAGGGTAGTCAAGGCTACGAACTGCAGATGTTCAAACATAAGCCCTAATCCTCTTGTTTTGGCTTTCATCTTGGATTCTTGATCAGATCATAAAAAACAACAGATTTTAATAGTTCCTATTGTCTTATAACAAGGTCAGTACATTTTTATATCAGACGAAGTAATGCCACAATAGGAGTTTAAATTTTAACATTATTTTAACCTGTTTCTAAATGAGATTATTTTCAGTACTATTTGGATTTTATTCATTCTTAATCTAAAGTGTTAATGTTTCTTTTTGGTCTTTCCTGTCCCCTCTGATTTGTTATACTAATAACTTATAACTTTGCTGGATATCATACGTAAAGACATCTCCCTCTGTAAGAAACACTAAATATTAGTCTTCTCTTTCAAAAACCTGTAAAACTTAAAACTTGTTTTATGACAAGAAATTCTAATCTTTTAATCCCACCATGCCTTGTAGGACTTTTGTTCAAGAAAAGGCCCTGATGCATCCTGAACCTGATGGTCTAGAACAGCTGAGCTCATCTCTCTTTAAACAGTTTCCTTTAAACATCTTTATATAAAAGTAAAATCTACCTTGCCAAGTTACTTTGCTTTGTCCATGTGCTCCTTATGAGGTATTGATAGTTATTAGATGTTTGGCTCTTAAAAGAAAAAAAAATGCTACTTCAAATCTATGTGACAAACTTAACCCTTTCTTTTACAGCACTAAGTCTTTTAAATATTAAAGAACTAGAGATAGAAGCTTTCTGTCTTCTACTCTTTGGTGCATTATGGTATCATGTGATTTCATGTGATTATGGTATCTGTGTCTATGATAATTGTTTTCATGTATTGTTTGTGCCAAAACAATTTTTGAACTATGGCCATTTTAGCTCTTTCTTTCCTTTCTCATTGTTTTATTGTGCACAAAAATTATTGGTGTTATTTTTGGCATGCCTGATCAAAATACACATGTACAAATCTATAAATATTTTGATGATATATTCAAAGGCCTTATAAACGGGTACCCTAATATTTTAAAATCTATTAAAAAGTGTCTCCAAGTTTATTAAATGTTTCACAAAACTTTCAAATGCTGATTACCTATACAAAATAACATCTAAACTGGTTATATAAAATCCTATTTGTTAAATACATTTTTTTGGTTTTAGTTTACTTTCAAGATGTTTTAAGGTATATTCATTTGATTTGTCTATTTCAAAGGTCTTTTGGTTTAAAAATAATAAACCACATTCTCAAAAATAATAATTACAACAT